CTGGCTTCTGCTTCTTGCCTTTGCTCCTAGGGGCTGGCTGAGGCCAGGCCATGGGAAGGAAGATCTAGGCTTTCCACATGGCAAGAAAGGGGCCATGTTCACATGGCTGAGACGATGGCTATGCTGCCAGTGTTGGAGGGTGGTCCTGCTACCCAGAAGTTGGACAGCCCTGTTCTAACCCACAAGCAAGAAGATGACAGCTGCTATGTTCATGCTCTTCATTCTTTTTTTTTTTTCTCAAAAAAGAAATGGCTTTTGTTTTGAGAATTTGTTGTTGTGACCTTCTCTTAGCTTTTTACTTAATACTTTGGCCTGGGAATAAAGATACCTATGTAAAAGGCCAAGAAATATTGTGTGACCTTGGTCAGTTCACTAAATTATTGTGGTTCCATTTCCCAGTCTAAAATGCGGAGAGTAATACTTCCCTACCCAATGCTTCCCTGCTCTCACTGCCAACAAGTGTTGCAGTTTTGGGTTCATGCATGAGAGCAGCACAGCAAGTATCCAGACTGCATAAAATGCAAAATCTAAATTGCACAATAGGTGATGAGTGTCCATATGTATGTAAGTTTTAATAATCTAAAGTTGTGTTCTGTAATAACCGGGGGGGAGGGGAGTAGGTAGCATGTTAAAGTAGTGGTTCTCAACTTTTTTGGACTCGAGGCCTGCCTCACTCCTGACCTGCAGCCCTCTGGCCCTGCCAGTGCCCCTCACTCCCAACCCACAGCCTCCCACCCTCCCAGTCCTCCTGGTCACTCCTGACCCACTGCCCCCAGCCCTTAGGTGTGTGGGGCAGGGGGGCAATTACTGCTCCAGATTTGTGCACCCACAGTGGGCATGGGGCTGCAGCCTGGCTGGACTGACATGGGCAGAGCTGCCTCTGTAGCCCAGCAGGCTGGACCTGGTATGGTAGGGTGGAGTGGGGGGCTGCCAGCTGTTCATGCACTGGGCTGTGGCTGCCCTGCTGCCATGACCCAGCTTCTTGTATGCCCCCACATGCATGTGGCACCCCCTCCCAGCCTCCTCCTGCTCCCTCCCCCTCCCCCCCCCAACCAGGCATTTTTAAAGTTTGTTCACGACCCTTTCATATATTCTTGTGACCCAATTCTGGGTCACGATACCTGGGTTGAAAAATGCTGGGTTTAAATGTTGTAGTTTTCCTACAACACTTCCCTGGTTTTAAATGTTTAAAAAGGCACAATAAAATACCTGAATAGTGGGCATCCTGGAACACAAGATGGAGATCAGTTTGTTAAGGAAAATAATAACCCTAGCTATTGGAGACTGTAATATGTCAAATGAAAATTAAGCCATATCTTTGGGACGTGCCACAGTGATTTTCACTGTCCTTATTTAAGAGGGTAAAGTGAGGATTTAAATGGTGCATGGATTTTATGTTGATTCTGAGCAGGAGTCCATTCCCCTTTTATTGAATATGGCCCTTCAGAGCAGTAGAGCACTTGCTGGATAGGTGTGAGCCAAATTGAATGACAGCCTACCAAGCACTTAACTTGTATGTTCTTTCAACTGACCAGAAATAGTCTCTTTCTCTCTCCCTCTCCTTCTCTAGCTCTCTTCCCCCATGTTTTACAAACTATAAGAAATCCTACAGTGTGATATGCAGCAAACCATTGTCCAGCCCATACTTGCATAACAATCTGTTTCTTGGAGATGAGACATCATGAACAGCAATTGAGTGTTAAATTTTCTCCCCGTCTTTCCAGTCTTGGAAATGGTTGCTGCTTTGAGTTGTTTAACATTTCACCTCAGATCAGCCTTTCTCAGAAGACGAGAAACAAACTCTTCAGAGAACACAACTTTAGAAAGAGATGCTATCGTCATAATGCTGACATGTCATCTGTTATGGAATCCCATCTACTTATTTCACATGTTTGTTATCATGGCTTTGAAATGCTATCCTCCAATGAAGTGATCCTATGAGTGTGGGGTTTTTTGTTTTTTAATTGCATGGCTTGCACTTTTATGTTTTTTATTCCTCGAGGGATACATTGCAAATTATCTGTGAATTAGGCAAATATCTAAGTGCTTCCTACCCCCTTTTCAACACTACTTTGCTTGAATTTAGAATTAGGCACAAAACAATGTATTCAGAGATTACTAAAAAAATTTAATAGCTTTATTGTCAGAATATTTATCATAGATCCATAGTGCTGCTATACTTAAATCAATATGTTGTAGCTGCTTTCTTGCATTCAGTAGTAAAAATACAGTCCAGGTTGAAACTTGTTTTATCAAACGAAGATAGTCATAGTTATTTCAATTGATGGAAACAAACTCAGGCTTTTAGAATTGGCTATGGATCTGCATATTTGGGATTTTTACTTACTTACAGTAGTAGCTCTTATGCTTTTATGTCTGTTTAGTTCTTATGCTTAGGTTAAAGGATTGGTGTTGTTTAAATACAGCCCTGCTTAAAAAAACCAATTTCATAAAATTGTAGAAAAATATGGTTAAAAGGGACTTTAGGAGGCTATTTAGTCCAATCTCCCTTACTCAAGGCAGGAACATCTGTCTAAACCACCGCAGACAATTATCTAACCTTCACTTAAATTTTTTTTTAAATGTTGGAGATTTCACAGCCTCTCTCGGTGATCTTTACCAGTGCTTTACAGCTCTGAGAATTAGAAAGTTATTCTTCATATCTGACCTAAAACTCCCCTGTTGCTATTAAAGACATACTTTTTATCCCTTAGCATATGGAGACAGAATGATTGAAAAAGCCAAACTCTCTTCTTAACAGCTCTTTTTGTATTTGAAGCTTGTTATCTGAAAATCTTCAGCCTTTTCTTTTGCAGACCACATAATCTCAGCTCTTCCAACCTTTCTTTCACGGGCCCATTTCCTAGACTTCTAATCACTTACTGCTTTCTTCTGGACTCTTTCTACTTTGTCCCTGCTTTGCGTGGAATGTGATGTCCAAAACTAGGTACAGGACTCCAGGGGAGGCCTTATCAGTGCTTGAATGGAGTGGAAGAGTCTCTTCCTATGCGTTGTGTGGAACATTCCTTTACTACATCCCAGTGTTCCATTTGTTTTTTTTCTGACCACAGTATTACACTGTTAGTTCATATTTGCCTTGTGATTGCTGCGTCCCCTAGATCCTTTTCTGTACCACTCCTGCCTGGGCAGTTGCTTCTCACTCTGTGTTTGTGAATCTTCAGTGTTGCAATTATGACAGAACAATAATTGCAATTATTTATCAGCTGATTTATTCTTACCATGTTTCCAATTAATTGATCAAGGTCCTTTAGAATCCTATTTCTGTGCCAGAGTGTTTGCTATTCTGTCCAGCTTGGTGTCACTAGTATGTTGTCTAAGTTTTTGCATTCAAGTCCATCCTCAAAAGTCATTAATGGTATAGGTGTGCACAGCCTCCAGGAATGCGGGGGGAGGGGGGGCAGATGGGCACTTTAATTAGAGCAGCTTCAAGAACTGCTCTAACTAAAGCAGCTGGAGCGCCACATGTATTGGCGTCCCCATGCTGAAAAATGGCAGTGGGAACGCTTTAACTAAAGCTTGTCAAGCAAGCTTTACTTAAAATGCCCCCGCTGCCGTTTTTCAGTGCGTGGATGCTGATACGCATGATGCTGGAGCGCAATAATTACCACGCTCCAGCAGACTTGATTAATCAAATCTGCTCTGACATGCTGTAATTACAGCATGTTGGAGCAGCCTTGCTGGATGTGTATAGGCACCCATCATTGTGCCCATCCTATTACATGGGTCTTCCCAAAGAATGGATGTAGTTCCATCGGTGTGCATGGCACAGTACCAAGTACAACCAGGTAACTGACACATGGTATAACCCTAGCCTCACTACAGTCGGTAAGAGTTCTGCTGTCCACTTCCACGGAGTCGGCGTCCACCCCTTTTACCTTGAACTGTCTGCGTCATTGGTTTTAAGTTTGCTTGGCGATGTAATAAATTATGTAATAATGAAAAGTAACTCTGCAATGGATATCAAGCCAGTGGCATGTCATTTGGTGTCATTTTAATACCTCCTCCTCTTTTTTGTATTTTATTCCTAGAGAACAAATTAAAAGGCCTTCAGTGGATGATAGATATAACCATTGCGTATCCCAGAGCTGAACCCATAGACATCCAGACTTGGATTCTTGGCTACAGGCAACCAACAATTACACATGTACATTACAGGTAGGAAATAATCCTATTAAGTTTACAGGTAAAGAACCATGTTTGGAATCCTGCATGGCACATTTTAGCATCCTGGAGAACTGTATGTTTCTTTGAACATGGTTTGCCTAGTTATTTAAGCACAAGATGTTTCAGATTAAAAGCTCAGAGGCTGTTCTATGGCTGTTTCCTAATATCAATGGTATACTGTTTTCATTTAACAATGGTGGTTGACCTGTAAGTTGGTCAAAGTATACACTTCAGGGTATTTGACTTTACTGTACTATGTTAGTTTATTTACAGCTTAGTTGTAAGTCTTGGTGTGTTCAGTTTCATTTAAACTGTTGCTTTCTTAAAAGAAGCTTATGATTGTCTTTTTTTACTGTAAGATATTTCTCTTAGTAATCTTCAGTCTGAGTTCACTTGAAAAGTAATAGTCCATGGACATGCTCAGGACTTTTTCCTGTCCCCTCTTCCATGCTTATATCCACTTACACTTGGAGAACATACCTCCTGCTTCAACCAGGACATTGTCACCGCCGAGAGCCGCGGCGCGGGGTTCGGGGCCTTAGGAGCCCTAGTCGGCGGGCAGGTACTTGTGACGCTTGGAGTGGAATCAGGTACTCAAGCATTTTGATTGAACAAAAAAGATTGTTTACTTACACTGCTCGTACAGTGCAGGTCAGAAGCTTGCTTCGATTACAGTTGTAAACAAAACTTGGGTCGGGCAGAAATTACAAAGTTCGTTTGGTCGGTCTGCAAATGTGTTCGGGGTGTTCGGGCTGGCAGTCGTCTTACGTCTCGGGTGGGGGTGTGCTAGGCCCCCTTGGGTCGGTGATGGGGAGTCCTTAGTGGTTGATCAGGCCGCTAAGTTCGCTCTGAAACATGCGTGGAGTTTGCTAGGCTCCACAGTGTACTCAGAGTTCTCCACGAGGTGTGTGTGGAGTTCTCCAACTTGGGCAGAAACTGCTTCAACCTCTTATACGGCTAGCAAGCCAATCACCGGTTGCCACGTAGGAATACTTGAAAACTAGGCCCTAATAATGTGAATTTGCATTGAACTGTGTTCTAAACTGTAATTTTCCACTACTGTAGCATTTGGTTACTGGGTTCAGGCATAGCGGAATTTTCCTCCATGACCTAGTTACTGCCACCAGAATGACTGACAGCAAAACTATGCCATATGTATCGAACCCATGGAATTTTCCTCTGGGCTATACCAATTCTCCTCTGTGCTATAGGCATCTAATTAATGGGTTCTGACAGACATACTTGTATTTGTTAGAAAAATTACATAGTAAGAAAACAAACGTGAAGAGTAATGTTGCCTAAAACATGGTGTCGACCATGACTGCTGCCAGGGTTGACAAAGAGAAGTCATAATCCAGGGTTACCATATTTCCAGCATCAAAAAAGAGGACACCTGGGAGGGAGAGGGGAGAGAGGGGGAAGGAAAGGGGGGAAGGACATAAGATATGCCTGTGCCCTGCCTCTGCCCCTCACTCCTAAGCCGCAGCCCCCTGGCCCTGCTGCCCAAGCAGCTCCCACGTTGTGCGCGCATGCACACACTGCCTCTGCCCCTCTGGCTTGCTGGGGACTGCATGAGGAGCATGTGATCCCCAACAGTCAAACTGCTGCCCACTGCTCCCAGCGCCAAGCAACCAGTCCGGGAGAGCAGAGGAAGAGCAAGAAACCTGGACATTTGCTCTTATTTTAAAAACCTGCCCGGACACAGCACAGGGGGCCAAAAAAGAAGATATGTCCAGGAAAACCCAGACATATGGTAACCCTACATAATCCGCATCGTGTCAACTGGATCATGGGCTAGTACTACAGGTACCAGGGTTTACCAAAAGCCAGCTGACTTGATATTGAGCATCTCTTGTCTGTATGTTAATAAAACTTGAGGTCAGTATCTGGTCAGTTAACATGACTCCTAAAAGCTGTGTTCTATTCAAATGTAATGGTCTGAACAGAAAGAGCTCATCTTTTGTTAAAACCATAGGTTCAGGGAGCTACCAGAGTAGTACTAGAACAATGACAGCCTCTCAGCAGAGTCCAGGGTGGGAAAGTGGTAGCAAAAAAAATCTTCCTTTGATAAGCAACTTTTTCTAAAGGACTAGCTTAATATGTGAGAAGTCAACTTACTGCTATCTGTCATGTGGTGTGGGGTGTCTTTTGTTTTTCTTGTTTTTCTTTTTGGAGAGATGAAATAATTTGCAGTTAAAGGCCTAAATGAAAGAAAAACTTGAATAATTTAAGATTGTTCGCTTAATATGTTTGTCCCATTTGGCTTTGATTGCTTTTTAGATTGATCATTGAATAGCTGAGAAGTGAAAAAGCACTGTGAAATTTTACAATATACATGCTACCTGTTCCTAGATGTACGCACAAAATCAAACCTCTGACTCATTAGCATCATGCTGTCATTCTCTCACTTAAGTCAATGAAGCAATCCAAGGTACTTTGGTAATAGATGGCATTTTTTTTGGCTGTGAAATGGTTCTTTTGAAGGAGGTTGCTATCAGTGTGATGACTTAATGTTGGTGGTGAAAATACCATTAACTTCCTTTGCCAGAAAACAGGCAGCAAACGTATTGTTCAGTAAATGTTTGATTCCAGATTAGGTTGGCTCCAGCCCTAAAATGAAGTGGATCCTTCATGCTTAGAACAAAGAAAGTCCCTGTTGTTTTGTTTGTTGTCCATTCTAGTCACTGGTAAAAGTATTCTGGAAAGTTCATTTGGAACATATCACATGTATACCGCAAACGAGGAATTGAAAATTGGAGGCCAGGGTGCATTATTTGTAATACCAAGAGATTTGTTTGATCTTGAATGTTTGCTTTTTTTGTTTCTAGTTAAGATGGTATTGCTGTGGTCGCATACATGGAGTCCTGAATTCTGGTTACTATTATTAGTTTATTCATTGGGAGCTGTTCATGTGCTGGGAGGAAGGGACTTTGTTACTCCCTGCAGAGAGTTTCTGGTTAATTGTTTCACTGGTAGTTATTATAAAACTTCAGCTTTCCCCTCCTACTGGAGTGCAGTTGCATGAGGTTAAGCACAGCTGGGATGGGAAATTTGCATTTCAGGGTCCTAAAGCTTGAACACTTGCATTGTCTCCTGAGTTGCACCTTTAGTGGAGAAGGGACTTGACCATAGCTTTGTGACCTCCCCCATTCCAGGGAGTGCATTGCTGGGCTTGGCCTCCCTCCCCTCCAGCATAATGTGGAGGTGTCCTTGGACTACATGCAGTAGTAGCCTGCAGTTACTGGATTGGGCCCCAAACAGTTCACTCAAAATCCCTGTGTTGCCCCCTCTTTCAGCCTGCCACATATGATTAGCATGGTCTGTTGTCCATGAGGTGAAGCTGGACCAGGTTGCCCTGTGCCTTATTTGCATATAAATTTTTGGAGCATCCCAGGACTTGTGATGAGAACACCTGGTTGCAGTCATGAGTTGGGGGGCTTATTAGCACATGGATCTGGAGTACATACACACAGTGATCAGTGCTGAGTAGTGGGGTCACCATGGTTTGAAATGCTGTTGACTCTGCTGGGGCCCACCACAATGGACTATGTGGTAAATCACAAGCTTTTGCCTTTGCACTAATATCATACGTAGTTTGTACTACGTTTAGGTAGGCTCCCAAGTGCTGCTCAGAAATGTGTTTATAGAATACCTGTGCTAAAACTTGCAGCTGTTTCAAGAAAAGATAACATGCATTAATTTTAGATGAATCAAGCCTGTGGGTACTATATGCAAATTGCTACAGTCATATTTAATTTCAAGGTTATTGTTTTCAAAATTGCTCCTCACTTCCATGTGCTCAAGGAGAACAGGCTCTGATGGTAAGGAGAGGGGGAAAAGGCTGAGGAGAAAGTTTGGGGAAGTAGAGAGCAAAAGCGCTACCTGACCCCCAGATTTATTTTTCCCTGCTGTAGCAGTGGGAGGGGGATAAATTTCATGGATTTCATAGACATTAGGGGCTGGAAGGGACCTCATGAGATCATTGGGTCCGGGGGCCCTGGGCCATAGGTGGGAAGTCAGCTGGGATCAAGTGACCCTAGCAAGAAATAAATCCAGCTGTTTTTTGAAGGAGTCCACAGGAGGTGCTTGCACCACCTCTGCGAGGAGTTTGTTCCAGACCCTGGACACTTGTACTGTAAAGAACTGTTTTCTTATATCCAGTCTGAATCGGCCTTCTTGGAGTTTATGAGTTATTAGACCTTGTTATCCCTTTGCGAGCTCTGGTGAACAGATGTCCTGATGTACCCCTCTTATGAAGTTGTAGGCTGCCACCAAGTCCCCCTGAGCCTTCTCTTCTCCAGACTAAAGAGTCTCAAGTCCCTCAGCCTCTTCTCGTACGGCCTTCCCTCCAGGCCTTGGATTGTATGAGTGGCTGTCCTCCGGACTGTCTCAAGCTTCTCCACATCCTTCCTGAACTGGGTCTCAGTACTCCAGCTGCAGTCTCACCAGGGCTAAGTAAAGCGGGTGGATGATTTCCCTGGTTAAAATTGAAGGGCAAAACTCCAATAATTAGATTCTGTACCTGGAAAATTAAAACACATTTTCCATAAATTGAATCTAATTATTGGGGGGTTGTCTTATAATCAGATTCATCTTCTATTCAAGTAAATACAGTAAAGACTAGTGTTGCAGTTAACTTAACACTCACTGTGTCCATCAAGGGGTTTGAGGCTTTTTTCCCCTAGAATTAAATTAAGTCTCCCTAACAAGAAAAGGTTAACCAAGCCTCTGAACTTGTATTCTATACTGTTCTTTACCATGAAAGTGTTTCAAACCACACTTTAATTGTTTTAAACTATTTTTGAGTGGATTAACTGTGCTTTTAAAGATGTGCGTGATTTTTGCCAACTACTTTATACTAGAAACATAATGAAGGATTAGGGTCAATATGTCTAATCCTCTAGTTAGTGATGCTGAATATTGCATACTGTATTGGACTTTAAACTCTGCAAACTGATGGGAGTAGCTGTGTTCTTCATTCATTCCATATG